AGCCATATAAAGAAACTCATTGCGGTGTTTCAAAGCGAGAATTCAGGATCACCGATATTTCGAAAATGAAGCTGTTCGATGGTTGATCAGTGAGTGTGAGATTATGATAAGCATTTCAGAAACTGCGATATTAGATTATCCTTAAAAATACCGTTAAACAGTCGTTTCGGCGTTTATTTTGTAATAAGACTGTTTTATATTGTCGAAGCATAAAGCATTCATATCATACAAACACAAAAGGGGGAGATCTTCCATGTAAGATATACGAAAGTCAAATTTCATCATCCAAATCGATAGTGCATCATATCCGTATACATCTTATACATATACAGCTAACTTAGCGGTTTAAAGGTTGATTTCACATATCACTTTGGTGTCGCCCACGGATCGTCTCTTTCGCGCTCTGTCCGGATAAATCGTGTGCAGTAGATCTTCTGTTTGTCAGTGTAGCTGAGAGCAGGCATTTGCATGCATGATTTGAAATGGAAAAATTCTGCGTGAATATTTTTATTATGAAAACCATTCTAAAACTGAACATTTATTGGAGTATTTTTGTCATTTGCTACGAGTTTCGTCAATTCCGCCTTTGAAACACTATCAATCAATTAGCATCAATCAATTAAAGCACTACAAACGATCGCAAACGGGCAGTAAATAGAGCAAGTATGGAAGATAATAAAAACGCCTTCTTACCTACCAGTTACAACTCAATCATTAAATGCCGCCTAATGACATTTCCCTGTGTTGCAAAACGACGAAGACGACACATTAATATTCTATATGATTAATATGTGACTGTCAAATGAAATCTAAACTTACCTTCTTCATTTACTTCAATTCAAGACGCCTTAGCGTACGGTTTCAGCACGCTACTGATCATGCGCTGTTCAGTTCCAGCGTATCAATCAATCAGTCAATTAATCAATCAATCCAGTTTTCAATACCATACCTTTTCACTGCTTTGATGAGACGAGATCAATTTCGAGGACCAACTCGATTTCTAGTGCCTGTCGTTAGTGTGGAAAGTGAGCCCTCTTCATGCGGACCAGTATGCTTTCAGTAATCAGATCTATGCATGAAAGGGCAATGAGAACTGCTTTACTTGAGTATGCCAAAGTTTAGCGAAAGCGGCTAGATTTGTGAATAAAGGATGCGCGGACACTATTTCCATTATAAATCATTTACGGAAACCTCATTAACATCGCAACAAGCGGTTACTCTCGACTTTACGAACCTGTCAAATTGATTTTCCGCTAGAACGTTCACCTTCAAAAGCTAACAAATAGATATCCACGAGGTATCTTCTTATCTCTTTGGACAACTATTCAATCCCTAATCTTAAATGTAACGTTGATCGAAGATCACCATTCGTTCAGTTTCATCTTTTTAGCTTTTTTATCATTAATTCACCAGAAATGAATCCGTTTCAATCAGCGTATATTCAAATCTGATGAGTGCGCAATAAATGACGATGAAATTGATGCGGAACTCGCATAGTTACCCGAATACGATCCTTACAATCTTACGATTGTTAGTATTTTGGTTTCAGTTAGAAATGCTGCATTCTGCGCCAAAATAAACTTGCAGAAAGCAATGTGTGATAAACCTGGTCGAATTATTACACAAAATGAATTATTAAACTGAAGGAAGCGAATTTGTTTTGATAGTAACATTCAATAAGTACACCTTTTTCATGCAGTCGTCACTTCACAGATAAGTGATGCGTTGCAATAAACTTCTATCAATCTCAAGTATTGAATTGATGCGTCTTATTTCCTAATTCCTAATGGTTCCAATCAGTTGTCACATTGAGAGTACTGCTTCAAGTTGGACGGTGATGTGCGCTTCGAATTTTCGTTCTATTGACGATCATTCGCATTTCAAGCATTGTTTTTCGATTTTTACCTTTGTCGAATTTTTTAAAATTTTTTAATTTTCAATCAACTAATTCAATTTATCCAACCTTTTTATTTTAATCTGCTATTATTTTTTACTTATTCAAGCAATCGGTATGATGTCTGAGCGCTCCGCTTTTCAACTGTATTATTGCTTGTACATATTTGTTACTCGGCAATAAACTATCATATCATGCCTTGGTTAAATGAGATTTTAAGCGATCCTATTGCGTGACAGTGGATTATACGAAGAGGATGGAAGAATTGGCGGTCTGGTATTTTCGTGTCTTTGTTTTTAAATAGCATTTTTTACGATCGTTTTGAAAATCCGTTGAAAGCGCAACCAGATGGTCTAGAATTCAACGCACTATCAAGTGTACTTTTTCATCGTCGCGAATCTTGCGTGTTTCGACTGAGCGTGATTACAGAAAAATTACAGAAAAATGTTACAGAAAAATGTATTGCAATTGAAACAATTGCCTTTCAACAACTGATTATGATGTAGTCAGTGTACTGTGGGACTGGTCACTGAGACTGGTCTGAGGCGGGAATCCGCATTCCCGAGGTCTCCATTCCCGAATCCTCGTCTCCATCCCGGACTTTTTCGAGCCGCGGACATTTTCAGGGTCGTCCACAAAAAATTTCGTCTCCGATTTCACTCGTACCCGACGTTTTTTCTGTGGTCTCTGCACCACACTAAACGAGTGCGAAGTAGATCGTCTCGGAATCCGTATCACCATGATGCTGATGAAGGCAACAAATGTATTCAATCAACGAATTCTTCAGATGCTTACTTTCACGTCCAATTAAATTCTCACTGTTCAATTCATCAAATCCCACAGAAAAAGTGTTTTTTGACCACATCTAATGTTCATCGTAATGCGTTCGATGGAAATCAGTCAGTCACCTTGATTGATGAACCAACCAGCACTTTCAATGTCGCATTGTCAATATGCAATCAATTATTACCGCAACTTAACGCCCATTTGTACAAAGTACAAATTATCTCCACAAAATACTTCAGCAAGGAACAACTGATTGGCTTTTAATCAACTGATTCATTTCGGCAAAATATCTTGACATCGATAAACTGTACGCTGTCTTCCATCTCTAAGATACTCCAAGAATAGCGGGTAAAGTCAAAATGATAGATGCACAGATCAGTATATGATCATTTATTTTATTCGCAAGCGCTTTATCGGCTACATCTCTTAGATATATCTGTGCGATGCTTCGTGATTCGCATTAAACACGATATACTTTCATGTTAGGATCACCAAAAACGAACGCAATTAACATTACACAATTAACCGAAATGAATCACTCAAAAACTTTCAGCCCACTAAACACTTTCCATCGATAGATTCAATTAAGGCAGACAACGTTTATCGAGGCAGAATGCTCGGCTGTAAGCTGCATCAACTTCCACATTTGGTCATTTTGCTTGGTCTACTATGTTGCTCTATCGCTATTGTGTCACCAGTATGGCAGGTACGTTATCCAGAATAAGTTTCTTGCAAACTTTCACTGGAAACACCGTTCATCCTTACCAATTAGATCACCGAATCACTTATGAAAAGGACACTGTTTGTGGGGAACAACGCACATAGATGGGAATTATAATTGAGATTCAGAGTTTTTTACGACTTCTAGCCGAGTTTATAACTTTCCTCAATTGCAAAGTAATACTGCAATCTGGCACTATTACTGCTTCCGGGCTTCTGATGAGAAGCCGTAGATGACGATAAGGGTGCACGATGGCGATTTTCAGGTGACAAGGATTCCAGGGGAGAATGTGACCGTTTATCATGGGTTATGGTTGGATTGCGAAAAAAGGTATGTTTCGGTCATGGTCATGGTGCATCATTATCATTTTAGAACTGAACTGAATACACACCACAAGTTATCGATCAGATTTCCCTTTTGATATCGTTCTAAATATCGTAGCTTAATAATGCTGATGTAGTCACAAGCTTGGCAACGAAACAAATGTCGTGCAAAAAAATTTCGGCTGTGATTTTCTGGCTTTCGGGTTCGTGGATTGTTTTCACTTATCGTTAGCAGTCGAAGAAGCATACTCAACTATCACATGATTTGGTCGAAGTGTTGATTTCTTAGAGAATAGCGTAGTGAAATGATTTCTTTGTAGACCGAATGAAGTTTTCAAGTGCGATTTTTCGTTTGCTCACATGCACGATGAGAGCGACACGAGCGTTCCACTGGTTTCGTCAACTTTCGCAGGTTATTGACTTCAAGTAATAGACTTGGAATTTTTGATTCATTAGAAGAATCTTCCAACAATCAATCACACTTATTGACTCTTTGCATAGTCGTTCATCAATGCAAACACGAAATATCTAATCTGAACTCGATGCTACTTTATATCTCCATCCAAAAGATTTCTGCATTTATCATGCGACCACTCAAAAGTCACCTTCTAAGTAGACCACTTAGATCGACTGTCATTGTCAAATCCGTTCGGATTCACGCATATCAAACAAGTATGAACATATTTCCGAATGAATACTGTTCATGTAATACTCTATTATCGCTTCAAGCATTCGACAGTTTAAAGAAACATTGGTCATGGTCTATATTTCAGAATATCAGAATATTCTACTGGTTTTATTCCTTCTCGCGCAGCTGTTCGCCTTCTTCTTTTGTGTGCTGCATTTTCTATCTGGCTTCATCAAACTTGGATCATGTGAAGAATGCCTGTATGATGCAGCAGCCCTTTTAGCTGGTATGCCATTCAAATGTTTTGCAGTACATCTTCAGGATTTGTTGATCATTTGATGGAGAAAAGGCATTAGACTGCTATAATTTCACAAAATCATGATGTGATTCTACTATCGGTCACATGTGATTCACGACCATAGTTATGAAGCGCCATCGGTCATAGACCATCGAGAGAATTTGAAGAAACAGTTTCAGTCGGATAATGATAAGTTGTTTATCAATGACTCTATCTGTGATATTCATTGTCAGTTGCTATTTTTAGCGTCTTTATGTACGGTTGGTTGCATAATATTTTACATTGTCACTCGTAGAAATCAAGAAAACAGCTATTCGCCCGCACAAGTGGAAACAACTCGGAATGAGGTTAGATCTTGATTTTGGTTCTTTGGATATGCGCAGTGATTGTTATGATGCGCCATCGATCATAGAGCATCAAGAGCATTCACAGAAACAATATTTCAGTCGGATTTCATCTCAAGCACAACGACGAGCATATCATTTTGGTTGATGGTCGTTGGTACGGTGTTCTATACTGTAGTGGCAGCGATTTGTGTTGTCCTTCATAAGAGCTGTAAGAAAAACGCTCGCATTCTACCAGAACAGTTCTACGAAGCAGATGGACAGAAGGTAAGAGAACAAGCTTAGATCGGCGATTTTTCTGAGCCTTTTAAAATTTGCTATAATCGGTGACATATCGATCTTCTGGAGAAAACGATCAGTTGAACGTAATTGGACGAATAGAACAGAAACAATGTCTTCGCAGCTTCTGGAAATGCAAAGCGGGCAAATCGGAGAACGTCTAAATAGAACGTCTGATTCTAGCATCGCAACGAAATCTGAGCATTCGCCTGAGAAGGAATAAGTTACATGTAAGCAATTGCTAACTGTAATGTCACTTTGAGAGGAGCTTTCAGCCGAAAAAGCTTAGGATGTGGCAAGAAGCACAGAAATTAATGATTTTGAATTTTCAGGGCGCTCGAAAGATCACATTCGATGCGTCGAGTGAACGGAGGCGATTCGATTACGATGACGATGGCTTCTCAATGCCGTCAGTCCGAAAGCTGACACCTCATCCGCGATCGTGTTCCATCATCACTACCGATTGATCGATTGTTCTCTTATGATCCCAATCCGTCTCATCCAGACTGCTTATTGATCTAGCGAGCAGAATGTTAACCGCAGAAGATCATGCATTAAAATTAAGTGTGAAACTAATCACTCTGATATTCAGCGTGTGTATGAAGGAATCTAACCATTGCTCCTTAACCACAAAGCCATCTTGTTAGCATGATATCCTCAAGAATTCTGTTGCATTTTATGGATCGTATACTCTGTCTGAGTGAGAATATTTCGAATGTTAAAGACATTTAAAAGAATTGTCTGTAAAGTATCATGAGATCAGAAAATCATATGACTGTTTTTGTGGTGATAAGAAATTTTGAACAGTAGCAGTGCGCTGTGTAATATCGTTAGAATTGTTTATGATGTGTACAAAACATAGCTCTTGTCTGTTCACAGTGTTTAACTGTCGCTTAACTGTGTTTTCATCAGCGACATCCGTAAATTTATTTTGAAAATAGGAGACATCAGTAAACAACGATCATGTCGTTAAGGTAATGATGATCAATGAAGTGATTCAAAGTTGTAAAATGTTTGTATTGAGCATTGGAAAACATCGAAAGTGGACGGGATCGCAGAGTGTCGGCGATAGACGTGTTGTTTTGTCATTTGTTCAGTTCATTTACGAAAAACTCCGAATGAGTGACATTTTACATTCGCATTCGTCGAGAAAATATTTATGCCCTTTGAATGAACGAGAAAATATGTTTATTGAACATGTACTTTTTTCGCACTGAATCGACAGCTACATCTGCTGATGTTTCAGCTGATGTTATGATGCAGCAATTGGGTTTTGAGTCATCTCGATTTTATGAGCTATGATCATTCTAGATTGCAATTGAACAATCGTAATATCTTTTGAAGTTTCTATCTTGATTTCTTGATTATGGCATTCCGAGAATCACGTTTTCATATGGTGTGATTAAGGTGAAGAACAACTTGAAAAATAACTCTTCCAAAAAAGTGAACATTTGTATTTTTGATCACAACACAGAAATTTGTTTTTTTTTTTGGTTGCTAGTTGAAATTCAGGGTATGCTGAAGTAATCAAATGAAGGTTAGACGTCAGCAATACATTCTGTAATGTTCCTACACAGATTCAAGTATGATAAAGGCATCAGGTAGTCTTATGTTTTATGGAAAAACAACTAAGAATGCTTCCAGATAAGTATTGATCAATGTAAAATGTCAATAAAAATTGATACGCTGAGGTGAAAGTTACTCTGAATGCTGGAGAAAATTTATCGTATATTATATTTACAAGTTGGCTATACACGGATATAAAATGGAAACATTCAATGGAAGTGTAAAACAAATTAGGAGAGGATGTACATGGGAGCATGAAAGTATATCATATCGACTATAGGGAGTACATGGGGTATATACATGGATTATCATTACGCTTGAAGCACATTTGATTTTGTGATCAGTTGCAGGCATTCGTGAATATTAATAATAGCAAATTTTAGCAGTACCAATTTTAAAGCATCGATTATAGCTGTGCTTCGTGATCGGACAATTCATAACGCATTCGGCATTTGGTGATGCACTGGAGAGTTTGTATCCTCTCGAGATGTCGCATCGACAAACGTTACACTCCGGCTTACCGCATGTGAACCGATGGTATTGCATCGGTTTGCCGTGGCTCTCTTCAATCTTATCACCGTTCGAATGCTTGACTATCGGAAAGCAAATCGGTGTCTCATGGACATCACCATATATCATCGATACTTTACGCTCACTTATTCGACAGTTGTCCGACCTCAGAGGGATGCAAACACCTACAAAAGCCAACGAATTAATGTGAATTGATTTGAGGAATAATTTGAAACAAATTCATCGCTTTAATTCAAGTGTTTATGATTTCTGCAATGATATTGTTAAGAAGCTAACCTCTTAATGTGAAAACATTCAGGAGAATAAACGAGAAGATTGTAAACATCTGAAAATCAACAAAATAAGATTATAAATTCTGACTGCATGGATGACACTAACATCTAGGAAACGGTAAGATCAAATTTGATGGATCAAAAACCTTGGAGCATTGGTTCATTGGAAAGTTCTTATGCATAAGGAGAGTGGCCATATGAACAACTCGTTGATTCGTCGAGACTAATCGAGAGCTATTATCATCGGATTCTGTTTACAATTAGACTTTTGCTGCAATTCAAACAAATCCCGCAATCTCGTAAGTTTAAATAAGCTGATTCAATTGCTAGGCGCATTGTAACTGTTGCGAGACTATAGAGAAGTGTCGTTTAACATTAGTCCAAGGAGTAGTACCGTACCATTCAGTACATGTTTTAGGTGGGATGAAATTGAATAAAGACAATCCGAATGATAATCCAGAAATGTACACTGATTTGAGAAAATCAAATGAGATGCGGAGTGAATGCATAATGATTATGTCATATGGATAGAACGAACGAATGAATTGAGCTACTCACTTTAGATCAACTCAACGAAAACATCGGTAAAAGTGGAGAAACAGCAAAAATTGAATCAGTTGAAAACAACAACAATCAAAAGAAATGAACTCGAAATGTTCGTGAACAACTGACTTTCAGCTGTCTGATTCATGCAAATTGTCATGCGGCTCACTTTGTGTTTACAATCCAATTTTCTTCGATCAAAAATCAAAGAATGTCTTGTGATGACGCAATGTTTTCTTTTTATCTTGATTAGTTACTGTTGTAACTCAATGTTATCGGCAAATTTCACGTGAAATGATTGCAAACTTACCCAGGCATTTCGAGATGAGTTACGTATATCTTCTGGAGGTTTCCAGCTGATCATCAATCCTTAGGTATCCATCTTCATCCAGGGAAACTCCCTCCTCCCATCTGATGCTCCTTCTCCCTGTAAAATTGACCGTTCTATCTCTCAGGTAATGCTACTGCATAACACCGTGAGTTAGGACTAACCAAATATTTTTCGATCATAAGCATACTGATCCTCATCCTTTCACATGTTCCCAAATGAAGAGGAGATTCTTGATTGGTGGGTGATTTTAAGCCATCAGCATGGATTCGAGGTATCCAATCGGGGCACTCCTCTCCGTTTGGGAATACCGCTCCACATATGTAATCCTTATTGATGGAATTTTCGTGGAAGTTAAGCAACAGTTGAAATCTGAACGTCAGGTTGAGCGTGGTTCACTATGATTACAAAGGTTGAACGGGCGGAAAGATTTTCTCAGAATGTTGACCAACAGGGTTGAGGATAGAAGCAGGTTAACCCTCATCATTGTATTTTCCGGAAACAACAGTTTACAGCTGTCTTCAAACATGAGCTTTCTTTACCTTGTCTGCGTCATTTAGATGACGTCTTTGTATTACATTTTGTTTTGGGATTAGGACAAATGTTATTCGACCTTAAAAATCTTGAAGATCATCAGCTTCGTTATCGGTTTCAAGTGCAAATCTCAGTGGAAGTGATAATATGACTAGAGTACATTTATCCTGAACTATCACTTATCGAAGTTGAACATGATGACGGTGTTAGTGATAGTCTTTAGAAAGTGCTGTTCAGTGACCTCAGCAGTTGTTGGAACATAGTGCAAAATTTTGAGCTATCATGCATAGATTCTGACGCAACCAAAATGTTTTACTGTGAAATCAAGTATTACGCTGAATCAGAGGAAAACATTTTGGCTAAATTTTCAGATATTTTTTTCAGAAGTATTACGTTGAGCTGCTTAGCAGCAACAGAAGGAGTGGACAGACTCTCATTTATGACGATTCAGCGAACTGAACAACCTACAATCTTCATATTGATATGATGCATGAGAAAAATTACTGCAGCTGAATCGTGCGGTTTGCGATCTGCATACAAAACTTTTACAAAACTTTGCTTATGAGTAAAAGATATTGTATGGGTAACGGCTAAAAATCGCCCACGAACAGAAATTGAAAAGAAATTGGAAATGAGCTTAAGTGAATTTATCGGATAACCGAGTAACTGCTCGAGGAGAATGTTTTTAATTTTTGATCAGCATAAATTATCAATTCTCAATTAGCTGTATGATTTTTGAGGTCTGCATTTGTTGCTTCCGAGATTGGTGGCTTTGCAATGGAAGGTGTGAGCATTGATAATGGCGAGGGAGTTATTTCGACATGATTCATTCGGTTTTTGAGTATTTGACCGTTGGTATTTCATTTGGATGATGACAGCAGAATATGAATGGTGAATGATGCGAATTTATGATTTCGAAGGTTTGAATAAAGACCATTGAAGCATTTAAGATATTTTGATACTTGCATTGTAAATTCAGTTTGAATACCAACTTGCGCTTAAAATTCAGTCGGATATCCGATCAGGTGATCTTTGCAGTTATTGTGCCGTGCTAGGTTGTTTAACACAATCAACAAAGCATTGTAATTGTATTGAATTTTATTTCATCGTAATTTGAAACAATATCGTTGAGAGCTATCAAAATGAACTGTTTGCCTAATTACAGCATGAATAAAGGAAAATATGAATGCATTTCAAGTTCAAGGCATACTACTGAACGAATGCTCTCTTTTGAATGTCTAGCACAATTCAGGACTTTCGCTTTTAAGACAATCCGAAGAGATATATTTGGTTATTGGGCATTGCTGCACGCAGTGTGCGTCGTCACCTTCGCTGGAGAGCTTGTAGCCACGTTCCACATCGCATCGACATCTCTTGCAGATCAGTGCTTCACACTTGAAGCGATTTCGTTTCATTGGACCATTTTGAAGGGTTTTGCGTTGACCACTTGGCAACAACGCTACCGGATGACAAATCGGCACATCATGAATATCTTTGTTGTTCAGGGTCACCAGTTTTTCGGACGACTGGCAAGTCACTGAAATTGAGCACAACTTTAGAGTGAAAATAGCGAGTTATGCTGAGCGTTTCGAATGAATACCATCAATTGATTTGTTTATGAATCGCTACCTTTGCAGTCTCCTCGATGAACAATGAACAGAAGCACTGCCGAACACAACAGCTGAAATTAGAAACAGTTTTGCACTGTTAAAGTTTTGGAACACAAAGTTCTTATTGTGTGCGTTCAATGCTTTTTATTTTTAGAAACATATCAGTAACGACACATTACTTTAATATATTAAATGAATTTTAAAATCAAGGTAACCGAAGTATAAAAAGGCAATATGGATTTCTAAGAAGGCAGTGTGGAGTGTCTAATTGATGTGAAATTATTTCATTCCATACAATCACGCAATTAAATGCGTTTAAAAAACTGAATTACCGTGATAGTAACACTTCTCATGTTATATTGCCACGAAATTTGATTCGCCTGAAAGGATAAAGTGAATAATTCATTTGATCACGGTACATTGATCACGCAAAAGAAAGCGATTAAAGTCAGATCACATCGCGAAACTTTTAAAATACTCGCAGTGATATTTTCTGATCGAAGTCTCTTTGAGCATATGATACAGCATATTTTGGTATACAGCTTAAATTCCAAGCAATCGAATCAATTTTTTATCGAAGATCAATAACGTTAGGTAAAGGCGGATTGTCACTCATAGTTTTACAGGCTCTAATGCAAAACCTAGATAGAACTGATAAGAATGTTTCAAGAAAATTCTTGAGACAGCAAGCAAACTGCATTCAAACAGAATCGATATAAGTAATCATTCAACTGTGAACGGCTCAGACTACATCTTAGCAATCAATACATCCCATTATCATTAACCTAATCAATTCATCTTTAACTCCTATCAAAACGAATTGATATCGTCATAAAAACAATGCTTTAGGGGTGTTCCACTCAGCACGTCGATAGCCAAGAGCATTGGTTTTATTATCATTCAACAACTCCACCTCAAACAGCTGATCCATATCGTTTTATCAAATGAACTGAGCAGATTGATTTTGCACGTTAAGAACATTAACGAATGCTCGTTAACAAATTGATCGTTAACAGCTGATCGTGAGCAAATTGAAATTGATTTCTGGAATCATCAGCTGAACTCTATGCGCCATAAAATTTGCCGACGAAATCAGTCATAGATAGCAATTCATGGGAGAGTGCTGAATTAAACTGTAAGAAGCATCAAATGATAGACAGCATAAGTCGTGAGCTATTCGTACCTGGTGCGACTAAAATAAGTTATGCACCATGCATCAACTGGAGAAGGAAATGTGATCGAAATCACTGAGTCAGATCGATGATGTTATTGGAAAATCACGAGAAAACCTATCGGAAGTCCGAAATGTAACGGTGAGAAACTGGACTCATCATACGTAGCTGCTAAATATTGGTACATAAACGTTGAATGAACAGTGCATGAACCCGATTGAGATTTAGTCAAGACAAATCCGATGAGAAGATTGTGATAAGATCTCGAGATTATCCAATGAAGCACTGCAAATGTTCAGTATTTTTAATCTAATAGATTGATCTTGCCATTGACGCACACCTGCTAATCATGTTTTTGCTGTCGCATACCTCAGAAAAACTGGTTTTCAACTGCGAGCCGATCATACACAATCATGCACAAAACAATTCCACGGATGCCGGCTGTTTTGCGATCGTCTCTTCTCCTCAATAAAATTCTCATTTTTATGGCCTAATAAACAACCGTTTTCAGCATTCCATTCAGATGTGACTGGTTGTTGTATGTGTGTGGACAACGAGAATTTCATTGAATGTTTTGATGGTATTGTTAGTTGCCAATTGTGCGTGTTTTCATTCGAAAATCCTTTTAAAATCAATGATGAGTGAAATTAAGACGATTCGCGTCCAGACGATTCATTCCATTCTCAGTTTTCTTTCACTATAACCAACTGTTTAAGCATGAAATGTCAACCAATTTTATCGTAAATGTATAAATTAGTTTATTCTTATATTCTCGCGTTCACTCAACCTCAGGAATGATTGTTTAGGGACAAAATTTCGGGCAAAATCGATCCATGATCGATAACTCTGCAACCGTAAATCGATCAGAATCGCTTGCAGAGATCAACACTCGCAGCTGCTGTATCTCCTTTGTCAAAACACTAATAGTAAGATGAACTAACTGTATATAATAAATCTCTAATAAATCTCTCTTAGAGTACATGCATATACGAAAACGTTCGCTCGTTCATTGCACCTAGTTCGAATAAGGAATATTATGCAAATGCGCAGTGCAACATCAAACGATCGCGTTCTAAGAACAGCCAGCAGACAGCCGGGTTCATTCAGTCATCGCAGTGCATTGTTGTGCCTATATCCATCCAAATGCCGAAAACATCAGCGGTTATTCTCTGAATACGCAACTATTATGTATTCGGTCGTGTCCTTGACAACGACGCCGAGCCGATCAATGACACCTTTATTACTATTCCTCACCTGAGCGTTGCAGCACACACACACAATTACGTTCATATCCATGTTTTGCCAGTCCATTTGGTATTTACCTCTCTCTTACCTCTTGAATTTACCCTTTAAAATCACTCGAAATCTCTTCGATGAACAACCATGATTAATGGATGTGTGGCCGGCGTTCCGATGCAGAAAACCTCCAAAAACGATTATTCCACATCAAATGACTGAACGGGTGGTTGGTCTGGCGATTCTTTGCAGAAAAAAGACTCTCCTGTTAAGTCAACTGTTTGTTATTGGAGTTCTTTCTTGTTATGGGCGCATATGTTGACTTGCGCTTTTATAATCAAAATTTTCGTCTTGTTCTTCGTGCAACATCTGTTTCGTGTTGAATCAACCAATCGAATAGCGAATCGAACATCGTGGCTTGCTGCTTCTGTACGTCAAAGTTGTTGGCTTTGATTTTACTTGTGTCTGATCCAAATGAGAGACAGCTTGGCAATTCGACTGCAAGTTCGCTTGATACTTGCTTACTTGTGTTTTACGGGTGAACATCTCTAACCTGAAGCAAACAGTGAATCTAAACCTGTTTTCAACTGCAATTTTGTTTTGTCAAAACACCGACTAATTTGATCATATTGAGCTTGCATGATAAGGTTATTTCAGTGTAAACAAACTTTTTTTCAATTGAACAGTTCCCACGATTAATTTCTCGCGAATCATTCGTCACTTACTGTCATAATAAGTGTGCTTGTAATTGCCTGTTCCATTCTTGAACTCATATTATTTCTCAATAAGTTTCTAAGTGACGATCAACGACCTATCCAGATAGACCACTCGATGTTTTACTTTTTCATGAATGCAATTTCAGGGAACTAAATCCTTTCCGTTCTCATCACCAAATTCATCGACTGCCAGACTAAAACTACGAATTCAAAAGCATCCTCGGGGTGCAACCTTTTGGGCCTTTGCCTTCTCGCATTGAAGGAAGGTGTTCCACCGCTATTGTGACGATGGTTGATCCAAAGAAAACACTTCAGATTCCATCCTTCATTTTTGCATTTATTGGAACGGTTCTGAATTTCGTTGCGATAGCGACACCATCATGGCAGGTAAACATCCGCAAATGATTAGATTATGTATATCTTGAATTATCGAAATCGAAAAAGCTTTTAGAAAGAATGCTACTGTGTCATTTTAATCAAGCACATATGATTCATGTGTCCGTCAAGAAGCATCTAATTATAGGTTGTTTATGCAAGAGAATTGCAACAGTGGATTAAAAGTGGTTTATGGATGCATTGTCAAACCAGGTTAGTTAATTGATTGAACGAATGTTGGCGTATGGGTGCGTATATCTGCATTGCGGATATTAGAATGAATATACATATCTCATCGAAACCGTCATTGTTTAATTGAATTCAAATGCTTATTTGAAGACCATCTGGGATGCTTTCGTGCACATACACATTCACAAAAAACGACTACGATTTTTATACGAGTGCCGATCTTATCAATATTAGGACACCAGCATTTTTTGGTGAGATTTTACGATTTGCAAATGTTCAAACTGTTTTTCTATTACGAAGTCAGCGTAGATTACAATGACTGATATTCGAATGTGGTTGTCTTGAAAAGTCGTCTCATTGAAGAGGCTTATGCTCTGAAGAAAGTTTCAGTGATGATAAGGGAAACTAATGAAAATCCAAAAGTCATATCTTCCTCTGTCCAATAATAGAGGAAGATGTGACTTTTGCAAGTATCACAAAATATCCTCACTAGATCCCGTTATCCGGAACTGATCGCACTTGATCCATCGATGAGCATTCAATGATTCCAATTGATAATTTAGAATGGCAACACAATTTGTTGTATGTGTTATTGGGTGCACAATTTATCGCTCAGCTCGCACTGATCTCGTTTTGTGTCTCGCATGCGCATTCAGCGCATCGAATCGCCTCGTGGTTTTTTTCTGTGGCGATCGCAATTTCAGGTGAGCCATCTGATCAGTTTCATCGCTGATTGATGTCTTACGTTCATTTCTTCCTCTCAATCTTCCATCCAATTCATTGTTGCAGATAAAACTCATTCCTACATTTTCTCATCCTAATACGTTCGGTAATCTAAATGCGCTCAATACAATTCTCCTTAAGTGAATCCCAAAAAAGTATTGTGCTATGGATTTCTCAGCTTGACAATATGAATGTATTTCAGTTTTGATTCATTTCTGTGCAAATGTAGCCTTTCAAGTTCTCGCACATATGGTCGAATACCGATTTTATCATGTCAGTGTCAGCGGTATCTATGAGGTATGCTTACAGCTTCCATATAGTGATTGATCTTTCCAGACAGCTCGTTGTTCATTCATGTGTAATGACTCGATTGAGTGGCACCTGAAAAAGCCGTAATGTACACAGTTGATTCTTAACGCTTACCGCGTTTCGGTTTTGATTTCAAGTGGATATTTCAAGATTTTTACTAGTTAAATGAAAATTCAGTATAGCGAATGTATGCTATGCGAGTTTCATCGAAAGTGTTTGGTAAACTTTTCTGATGAATAATCGAACTTCCAATATTTCAGAAGCATGTGGGCTATTCGTATTATTTACATCTGTTCGGCACATTTGTACTGCTGCTTGCGTTGATCTTGTCGATTGCGTACGTCATAATGGATTATCGTTTGGAACGAAGTAACGCATCGTTGCGGAGTCAACTCGGAGCACCTTTCAATCCCTATCAGGTGAATGAGACCTCATGCATGGTATAGTTTTGCTATTTTCCTATCTGAGTTGTTCCTACATGAAGTTGCTATGTAAGCAGACATTTTTTTAAATCGTTAGATGCACTTTCTGGTGCAAAGCGGACCATTACAATGCAAT